AAATCAATATCACAGAATATTCATTTTAAGCACAAATCAACACCAGCAGCTTAAAGTGAATAAAAAACCTGAGTAGCAGAGAGGCCAATTGAATTTGCAAGAGCCTCACGCTCTGGCGCTGTTAAATATTTGGATGCCCGGAAACGTCTCTCCAGTTCATAAACTTGATTTTGTGAAAAAAGAACTCGTCGTTTTCGCCTTGATCCGGCGTGGCTAGATAGAGGCAGTTGCAAGCCTTGCATAGCAGCATGTGCCGGATTTATCCCACAGTTCAGTCCAAAACCAGAACCGAGCCGAGGCACTAGAATTAAAAGAACTGTAACTGAATCCGTTCATTAAAAGGTCGGCTAGTTTCAACGATGAAAACTCGCTGTTATGCCAGTAAAACATGTCAAAATATTCGGTAAAATAAAGGATAAGTCACAGAATTCAAGATCTTGTACGTTCAAAATTACACCTTATTATAGACCTGTTGCTATGACTACAAAAATTAAACACCAGGTTATTACTTATTTGGTTCAACTGTTCAAGCATGAAAATTTGTCATTTCTAAGTATACTGTAACAGCAATGCCGATTAATTACGGAACAAATGAAAAAAACCCAGCAAATAAACATTAAATTCGCTTTTTTGCTACTACGATGACAGCAGATTCAGATGCCCCAGTGCACAGAAGCGAAGATTTTTTTTTTTAACCATTCATTTGTCGCTCTTCAAGAAAAGTAAGAATTACGTCAGTTAATAAGCTGGCAGTTAACGCATGTTACACTCAAGAGATTCAGTAATGGACCTCATATTTTAATTTCATAGCAGTGTATGTCCTGTTCTGTACGAAAAGCTTTCCCAGACAAGACCAGGGTCATAGAAACATGGAAATTGTTTATATAAGCAGAAAGTTTATGGTGTGAGAATGAGGCTGACAGTATTGGGCAAACACAGTGGTAGGGCAATGAACGGTAAATGGGCAAATTGGCACCCTGGGGTTCATTAAATTGTGAACACAATGCTATGGCCTGATCCGAATCCTGTGCACCTGACTTATCACCTATAACTTATGACTAAATGCACCGCGGGAATTCCACCTTTTCAGTCTCCCTGCCTTCGTAAGATAGCTAGCCACGCAGATTCCATTTAATGTCTTAATTAATCACTTATAACGATTCTCGAGCTGCGGTGCTTTAATTAATCACGTCTTAATCATATGAAGCAAGGGCTAACTAGTCAGTTATAATTTTCAAAACCTAAAATAGCCCTTGATTTTTTAACCAATTTTCTGGCTCACCCAATTTTCTAACCAGGTTTATGGAATTGTAGAAAATAGCCAAAATTTTTTAAAAATTTCGCGAGAAAAAAAAACTTGAAATTGAAATTTTAGAGGCTTGCAGTTGCCGGTAAGAAAGATTTATCGATTGTGAATTCTTGCTTAAGCTTTTGCTTTCACTGTTTTCAGTTAGCACGCGACTTCCACGGCATACGGTGTCAGAACACAAGGCTTCAGCAGTAAAAACTAAACAAACACACACACGCACACATACACAAGCAAACGCATGCACATGGGCATATAGTCACATACATACAAAAGCTTACACATATGCATGGACACACACATAAAGTGTTAGCCAAAGGTACGAATAATCATGCGCATACGTAACCACCGACGTATGCAGAGACGTAGGCACACATAGTAAAAACACATTCGCAAACATGCGACACAGCACAGCTAGAAAAACACGTAATTACACAAATGCAAAAATACACAAACGCATATATATATATGAATATATATACATATATATATGTGTGTATTTTTGCATTTGTGCATTATATATATATATATATATATATATATATATATATGTATATATATGGATATAATGCACAAATGCAAAAATATATATATATATTCATTTAGAAGAAATCAGCACTCGCTTTTCTAAACTGCAATCTGATAGCTTACTAACTCGGTCCCCTTGTCAAATTTTCGCTTCTCTACCGCAGTCTGTCTCGTGGTTGTAGCACAACCTGTTTGGCCACATGGCTGGAAAAATGGTGCAGGAGTGACAAATTCAGAATGTCACACTTCATTTTCCGGTTTCTGCCCTCATTTTCTGCAAATTTCAAACAGAATGAATGAAGTAGAAAAAGGAAAAGAAGGACGTAAGGCAAATCATTCATGGCACAGAACGAACAGAAGCAAAAATTCAGCTATACTGTATTGTTCTTGTAGGCACGAATAAAAAGAGTGGTTAGTTAGGGTTAAAAAAAGATTTGTACACTAGAACCCTAAATGATCACTAGTCGCGGTTAGCGAAAACTGCCCCAGTTCATCTCCTTAGCTTTGGTTCGTTCGGTTCCTGCCTCAAAGCAATTCTCATCACCTGGGTAAACTATTTCTTGAGTTGATTCCAGCGCGTATGTTATAATGCTCAACCATGCTATACCTGACAAACTGTTCCAAAGCTTAACTTTAGCGATGTGCACTAAATCGTTGCGCAAAATAGCATGCCTCCCATTCCTTCAGTTTGATATTACTTTTACTTGATGTAGTTAAAATAACGCTTTGATTATCTAGCATAATAAAAAATAGCTAGGCTAAAAAAAACAGCTGAAAAGATGGCAGCTGTAGTAATGCAATGTAGCGATACTACGTTAAACTACTACACGGCAAATAATTAAGAAAATAAATGTGAGACAAAAATGAGGGTAACGGCGAAAACAGTATAAGCATAGCTCAAAAACTAAGAAAGTTTGCATTTAAAATAATGCTAAAGCGCCTAAGGTTTATTTTAATTTCATATGCAATTATTCGTTCAAAACAAACCGTAAAGTAAGATGGCGAGTCATGCTTCACAGGGAGTCATGCGTATGACTAGCAATGCGTGATGCTAATCCTAACACTAGTTTTTTATGCCTGTAAGGACTTTTACTGAGTATGCCTGTCCGAACCGATACACATTCAGCGAGCAGTACTCAATATAAAGGTGTGAGTCGCGTTACATTTCGCTGCCTTTACTAACCGCTAGCAACGTCCGAAAGAAGCAGCTAGCTGAGATTTTTCTACAACAAGTAGGCAAAAGTTTATGACATTAATTTGCACGGCAAATTTTCTGAATATTATTGTATAAAATTTCTGTTTGCTATTGCCGACAATTATGCAAAAATTATGAAACGTTTTGTAAAAAAATTGAACTTATACATATATAAATGAACAGCAGACTTCGTCTGAAAAATATCACTGTTACTTGGCCGCTAAAGTATCCCGAACTAATTGAGCTTACGCGAGACCCAGGTGTGTTTTAAAGTCGAATTTGAAATATTGCGGACACATATGTGCTACTTAGCGTAACTGTTTAGCGAAATAGTTTTTCGTTACAAAAGTCTTTGACATGTCGAAATGCACCATACATGCGCACGCCAAGCTTATTTTATGCCTGAGTACCTGCGTATGGATAACAAATATTTCATGAAGACAGGGTACTCAGCTAAGTCTGATCTTCGAGTTGGCATTTTGACAACAGTGTTTAGATTTCAACTTTGGCATGTCGGTGCACTTGAAATAGGCGTGCGCTGTAGCTGAATTTGAAATCTTATGCACACACGTAGGCAGAGGACATTTAAATGAATTTTCGGTTTCCTATTTTGTCTGACCTCTTAAATCGTTTTTCCGCTAAAGAATTTGCATGCTTTTTAAAAAAAAAAAA